ACTGGGTGGAGGGGAGCTATGGGGAGAAAAAAGATGAACAACTGTAATAATCTGAACAATAAAGATTTAATTTAAAAAAAAGTTTGCTCGTTTCTTCCTAGGATTCTGACTGAGACATAGACAATATATGAACCTAAAGTAGTCTAACTCTGTTTACTCCCTTCCAACTTATATGTCATCTTATTTATTATTTTTTAAATTATGAATTCTTTCATTGATGTTACAATGAATCAAAGCCAAAGTCCTACTCACACCTAGTATATTGTAATATTTAATTGAGAAATGTAATATATATACAAAAAGTAATAAAATATAATGTAGAGTTTAAGTATTTTAAAACCAATGCCTATATAACTAAGACCCAGGTCAAGAAACAAGTGGGAAAAATGAGACAAGGAAGAAAAAAAGTCAATATTATTGTGAATGTTATCACTGTGAGTAACAGGGTCTCATTCTTTTTTTAATGTATATTTTTATTGATTTCAGAGAAGAAGGGAAAGGGAGAGATAGAAACATCAATGATGCGAGAAAATCATTGATTGGCTGCCCCCTACACGCCCCACACCGGGGATTGAGCCAGCAACCTGGGCATGTACCCTGACCTGGAATCAAACTGTGACCTCCTGGTTCATAGCTCAATCACTGAACCACACTGGCCTGGCCAGAGTCTCATTCTTACCTGACACTCTGAAAAACCAACTGGGGAGGCTCAGTATTGATTCATTCATTCCATTCCTCTGTTGGAGAGGGTTGCCTCTCCTCACATGAACTGGGTTGTTTCTGTGTACATCCAAACAATCTCCCATGGTGCTGGGAGGTGCAGGTGCTTGAGAAAGTCAGTGTGCCAGGAATTTCCCGCAGCTACAAATGAGCTCAGTCTACACCCTTTCTTTCTTTCTTTTTTTTTTTTTTTTAATATATTTTATTGATTTTTTACAGAGAGGAAGGGAGAGGGACAGAGAGCTAGAAACATCGATGAGAGAGAAGCATCAATCAGCTGCCTCCTGCACATCCCCCACCGGGGGTGTGCCCACAACCAAGGTACATGCCCTTGACCGGAATCGAACCTGGGACCCTCCAGTCCCCAGGCCGACGCTCTATCCAGTGAGCCAAACCAGCCAGGCTCAGTCTACACCCTTTCTAAATTCCCTTCACCCTTGGTCAGCAAGTCCTCTGGTCTAGGTTGCTCATCCCTCATGGAGTGGCCCAGACTGTCATCCCTGAGAACTCTGATCTCCTGGTAACCATGCTCTCTCAGACCATGGTTCTTAATTACCAAGGTAGGCAAGGGCTGAAGAAAAGTGACAACATTAATGACAGTTTCATGCTGTAAACTTTCTTTTCTGATGTTCTTTATTGTTTCATACTCTGATTATGTTGAACTTAAAGTGTGTATTTGAAGCACAGGCTCATCATGTATAGAGGTGCCCCAACATGGTGGCCCCAGAGGCACAGGGCGCTTCTACAATGAGAGGCAAGCCCGAGCTCTGAGCTCATGTCCTTCAGAGGCGGGGTGAGAAGCCAGCCACCACAATGCTTTCACCGGTGATGTAGCTGGCATCTGGAGAGCAGAGGAAGGACACCAGCCCCGAACAGTCCTCAGGCTGACCCACTCTGTATGGAAAGAGGAGATGGGCTGAGAGTGATGATGCTTCCTGTGAGCCCTGGGCTCCTGTCAGATGCTGGGAAGTCAAGACCCCTATGGTCATGAGAGAAAGGTTGCAAGTGTAGATATGTGGGCTCTACAGGGACTTTTACTCTCTCCAGGGCTCAAATCTCAGAAAGAGGAATGCAGAGAGGTGATGGTGATTTTTATTCATCATGAAGGTCTGAAGTTACATGAACCCAGATCTACAAAGGACACTGCCTCATGCACAACCTACCTCTGTATTCCATGGCGTCCCTTCGCATGGTTCCAAAAGTCTGGATCCTCAAACAGCTAAAGGAAAAGTCAAAAGGTTAGTGCTGCTCATCCAGGTGGAATCACAATGGCTCCACCCCATAAACACCTTTGTGGAGGGGCTTCTGGGGGACACTCTGGGCTCGTCCCTCACAGAGGACTACAATCCTGATTCTGCTGCTGATCCCAAAGGTGGTGGACCAGAGCATCAGAACAAGAGGCCACAGGGCCAGGTGTCTCTGGGACATGGCCTGGTAGGGGAAGGGACCCTGGCACTCAGTGGGGCAGAAGCAGAAGTTGTCTTTGGTCCTTACCATTTTGCTGAAGGCTGTGTCAATTACTCCTGGAACTAGGCAGTTCACCCGGATATCCTTTGGTGCCAGCTCCAATGACAGGGTCTTGGTGAGTCCCAGAATGGCTGCTTTACTGACACCGTAGGCCCCTAGCCTCTGTGAACACAAAGGGAAGTGGATGGCAAATAAGTAACTGAGGAGGAGAGTTTCTATTGGATCCCTAGGCCTGTGTGTATAAATATATCTCTTCAGCAATGCAGAGATAATTGAGAATCTCACAAAGAAAGGTTAAAAACCTGCCATGTGTGTCCTTTCTGGAGAAGGAGGGTCTGAGACACCCATTGATCAAATGTGGGTGTAGGTGTGCCCCACCAGCAATGGCCTATTCTGGGATCTTCCTGGCCCTCTCCACGTTTCTTGGCAAATGGGGCTGTTTCCTTCCTTTTCATCTAGCATCATAGAAGTTTATACTTACAGCTTCAGGTAAGTATGCCCCAATTGAGGAGACCAGAACCACAGAGCTTCCCCTGGGAAGAGAAAGATGGGATAAATACGATGGAGCCACATATAAGTGAAGCAAATAGACACATCTGGGGTATGAAAGGAAGTGGAGACGGTGGACCATGAAAGTGAGTGAAAGAAATTTAGGTTCAGATTAGAGCCTGCTCCTGCCTTCCTTCAGCCTATCTCCTCTGACCTAGAGCATCCTGAGGACCAGGACCAAGTTTATGTTTTCACCTATACTTGGATGCTCAATCCATTAAGGAGAACTAGTATGAACACTTTTATCAAATACAGCCAACACTTGCCTTTATTCTAGACTATTGTTCCATTTACTGACTTTGAGGGTGTTCTATACTAGGCATGCTTAAGAGTAATATTCAAAGTACTTCCCAGTGGATCCTTTGGAATCTTAATCTCAGAAGCTCCACGCCCCCCACAACCCTACCCCATAATCCTCTGGAAAAGTTTTTCTTAAGGATCCTCAGTGCTCCCTCACTCACCAAGTCTAATGACCCTTGTTCAGACCTCACTTCTCTACCCTCCAGTTTCCTTTCACATCAGATACTGTAGACTAAAATTTCCTTTCTGGAACCTGTTTGGTCCTCTTGAGAAATCTGCACTCTTGCCTCTCTTTTCCCCTTTACCTACTCATTCCCTTTCCCTCAGTATCTATTCTGTGTAGGCCCGTAAATCAAGATGCTTTCATTGTCCCGCAAGTGTTTTCTCTTCATGCTCTCTTTTAATTTAGGAAGAAGATGAAGTATGCCTAAAATAATTAAAACAATCATATAATTTTCACCTTTGTCTCCTAAATGTTGACAAAATTCCTTATCACAACATTCAAGGCTATCCATAATTTAGCAACATCCTGCTTGTCCAGCCTTGTCTCTGACCTCTTCTCTTCACTCACCCTGGATCTAAAGGTCGTTCTGTGCAACACACACAGAGCAGGGATGATGGGGAAGATAATGGAGGACATGGCTAGCCCAAGAGTAAAAAAGTTTGAGAGATAAGAGTTGAGTGGGACTTGGAAACTCTACTACCCTTATTATGGACAGGCTGCAGGGTGCCGCAGTGTCATCAACCTGGACTTTTGTGCCCTGCCCTGCTGCATGCAGCCTAAGAGAGGCCACTTTCAGTTCCCCAACTCCAGGACAGTTATGGGAACTCTGGGCCTTTCCATTTCTCTCTTCCAGTCCTTGCCGATTTCTGGGCACTCTAGAAATTGGGTATTCATGCAAGAAGACAGGATTTTTTTCTCTTTTGTGACCTAGAAATATGAAGCTAAACTTTCACTATTCTAGAGAGACCACTTACATTCCTCTGATTCCAGGAAAGCTGTGAGGACTCTGGACCTTTCTGTCTGTAGATCCCTTATTGTGCTACTAGTAGAGTCCTTGCCAGATTCCATGGGCATTCTAGCTATGAGAGAATGACACTAATGGATAGAGTCTGAAAGTCAAATTCTCACTTCTCCTGTGTTACTGGCTCAGCTAAGCCTGCTGCTCAGAAGAAAGATCTAACTCAACACCTGGCTCTTGTTTACCACCTCTGCTTCACATTTGACACTTAATGTCTCCATCCCTCTCCCCTTCCCTGCCCTCACCCCCTGTTCTCCATGTGGGGCAGCAGCTGGCTCAGCAGCAGGGCTGGGGCCTTCACATTGACATTCAAGATCTGAAATCAGAGCAAATGAGGGTGGGGGAGGAGAGACATTCAGTCCAGTGCATGTTCTCACTGTATTAGCAAATACACCACATTAGAACATGGGCGTGATGGCTTCTGACAATGGGAAGTGGGGAGAGTGCTGGCTTTCTTTGACATACATGGGGGGCGGGGGGAGGCATCCTGAAAAAGCAGGAATATGGGGATCAGGAAGCCTTTGCAGGCATAAGACCCAGAGTCTGCAGAATGTCTCCCTGTGTCTGTAAGGGTATCAGTTAGAAAAAAATGCCCCATCTGGGTCTGAGAAGGCACTGGTCAATTGAGTCTGGGGAAGGCTGGTATTATAAGCTGAATTGTGTACCACCCAAACTCTATGTTAAAGTCATAACTCCTAGTAACTCATAATGTGACCTTATTTGGAACTAGAGTCATTGCAGATGTAGTTAAAATAAGGTCATAGAATGGGCCCTAATTCAAAAGGAATGGTGTCCTAAGAAGGCAAGTTTGCACGCGCATGCACACACAAACACATATACACTGAGAATTCCATGTGAAGATGAAGGCAGAGGTTGGAGTGATGCTTTTTTCTATAAGCCAAGTAACATCAAAGATTGCCAGTAAACCACCAGTAGCTAGGGGAGTGGCGTGAATAGATTCTCTCATAGCCATCAGAAGGAAAAAACCCTGCTGATGCCTTCTGACCTCCAAGACTGTGAGACAATAATTTCTGTGTGTAAGCCACCTGGGTTGTGGTAGTTTGTTACAGCAGCCCTCTGAAACTAATACAGCTGGATTTCCAGGTTTAAGCAATGGACATGAAGCATTCTTAGGCAAGGAAGGGATTCATTCCCTTCTCTGTGCCCCACATTTATTGTGATGATCTGGTTCTCTGTTGGACCCTCCCAGCAAACTGGGAGCTCATGAACAGTGGGGATCAGAACTAGAGTGTAGCAAGCATGTCAAACTCGTGGTGGCTGCGAATTTGACATGCTTGGTG